CGTTGCATCCATACGCGGAAAGCTTTGGTAAACGGCGAAAAACCAATCTGTGACTAAAGCGGATTCTATAAAGCGGGGGGATTAGATTCATAGGTATAATTTTGAGTTGACTCCATTTATACATCTTTTAGTTGTGGCCTTCAATTACTCCATTCCTATTGGTTGGCCTACGTTTGTTTGAGGTTTTCTTTCTGTTTGCCTGACGCGGGGCCATGCCAATGAATCATTCACTAACTTAAACAAAACACGCTGCCAAAGTTTGCATCCTACTTTTTAGACCATCTTCCCCGGCTCCTTTACGCTTCCCCCAATATAGCCCAAATGCAAAATCCCAATTAGAAGGATTCCTGTATTACACTAACCTACCTAACCAGTTTGCTTAGAGGCTGCACATACTAGGCCTCCACCAAATCAACTGTGAATAGTCATTAGCTTTCGTTCAAGTTCTCTTGTGATTAAGTACTCCTGTTTCGTTATGACCTCCTGAGGACGAAAGAAGCGCGTTAGAGATTACGGTATGTGTAGTATAAAGACCGTCAGAAGAAAACCTTAACTGAATAGAGAGTTTTTTTTATCTCGGCTTAAACGATGCTAGACAGCCACGTCTGTACTTTTATTTTGGAGTACGCCAATGACTTCTTCGCTATCACTTGGAAAGAGTGAAGGGGTAAACCTGCTTCGACTTGCTGATGGCAAGCTGATGATGGTCCAAATTTTGCCCTGTGCACTTCAGCCTGGAGCTCCAGGGTAAAACAGAGAAGCACCTTCTTCGTTCCATGAATGTGATAAGTCGTGGGAATGATCGTCTCAGGTGGTCTTGAAGCTTCCTGATAACAGGTGACAGGCCATGGACCTGCTCCTTCAGTTAACAAACGGTTGACTTAAAAGCGTAAGTGTTTTGGATTCACACCAGGAGTCTTAGACGTACGAAAGGTGACCGTTCATAACTCAGATTTTTAGAATCCTAAGGATAATCCTCAGGCCTGTCCAGCTTGCTGCTCTGTTGTGGTTGAGTAGAAACGGGGAAAATTTTAGGAGCAACTGCTCTAGTCCCTGTCGTATGCATACGTAGTCTCTTCAACCTGAGGATTCCTGGCAGACTCTGATATTGTCGGGTTCGAAGAATCACAGTCTTACTCCATCCCTGGAATTGGATGGGTTTGGTTTGCTTGGACAGTCAATAAATGAACGCGAACGAATGTTTTAAACACTGTTATTTTGTCTAGAGCGTTGTCTGTAACAAATTCTTCCCCTTGCTGTTGCGGTTTTGAATCCCATGAAAACTGGGTTAAAGGAATTATTAAAATCTCCCAAAACCCCCTTCTAAATTATTGCCTCCGACTCTATATTAAAGTGGCTAACAAAGTTAGAATTCATCCAATAATAAAGTGTTCAAACTACATTTTTACCGATCCAATACTTACCAGGCGCTTAAACGTGTATCTTGTCAAACTTTTGCCACTCAAGAGTGAATTGCCGAGATCTAGGATACTCGGCGGGTCCTATGACCTGGCGACCAACCACCCAACAAGAACCGGGAACTAGTTGCAGTGGATCTCGTCCTTTTTGCGTTCTATGCTCAAAGGAATAGCAAGTCCAGACTACGTTCCGAGTCTGTTACCTGACAAGTACAAATGGCGGTTTTCCGAGCATGCGATATCAATTTGTAAGATCTGCAAATATTTCATTTAAAAAGTCAGTTCGACAAACATATGTTTTCAGTCGTTCAACATCGGGCCTATACACAGACAATGAATGCATGAAAGTTGGAAGGGTTTATAAATGTCTTATGGCTATTACACACCGTTCTCACGCCGTTCGCATAGCGAGGGTGCCATGCTCAGGTAACTGAGACTGGGAGAGAGGGGATTTAGGGTAGCCTGGGGGCAGTTTTCGTAGGTCGAGTGCGGACAGTGAACCTCACGATCAACTGCATGGCATAAAAAATTGTTATCAGGGGGCGAGGGCGACATGCGATCATCATCTGAAATTGTTGTCGGCAAAGGAAGAGAGAGCGCCTGTCCTAGTGCCTTCTGACAGCACAGAGAAAGATTTGCTAGCCGTACAGCCATCGCCTCGCCTGTTGCTAGCAGTCGTTCGCGTAGGTCCTCAGAGAAGGTGGCTGCTGTCCTATAGAGAATCTAAAAAGCTTCGTTGGGATCGACTCAATGAGTAGTATCGATTAGTTGTGCAAGAAGTAAATTCAAAAACAGCAAGCAATCTGATTAAAAAGCCTACGGCGCGCAGGTCAAAAATCACACGCAGACTGTGAGAGTAGAACGGAGGTAAACGCAGCGCGAAGTATGGAAGTTATGAGACCTATTAGGTTTCCTTGTTACAATTTGTCGACAGTGAGTTTTCGATTTCTTGTAGGCTGTCTTTATCAAATAGAAAAGTGTAGGGATATTGCGTCATCTGGGCGTGGTCATGTAGTGGCCCCTAGCAGCTACTTGGAACCC